GTAAGGGTGAGGACAGGATGGGGCTGGGTTGAAAGTGGGAGTGACAGGGGCCATGGGGGTGGCTGGGGTTGGGGGGCTGCACCAGGCTGAGGCCCATGTTTGCTTCTGACCCGACCCGACCAAACAGGCGTGGTCCTAGCCACCCTGGGGCAGGAGGAGGCCCTACCAAGGATGCCTCTCCCCCAGCAGGGGGCTTGGCGGTTAAGATGCTAGACTCCCACATGGTTGGCCATGGGGGTGGCTGGGGTTGGGGGGCTGCACCAGGCTGAGGCCCATGTTTGCTTCTGACCCGACCCGACCAAACAGGCGTGGTCCTAGCCACCCTGGGGCAGGAGGAGGCCCTACCAAGGATGCCTCTCCCCCAGCAGGGGGCTTGGCGGTTAAGATGCTAGACTCCCACATGGTTGGCCATGACGGGAGTCCCAGGCCTGGCAGCTTGAAAACCACGCGTCATGTGCACCTGCCGGAACCCGAGGAGCATGGAGGAGAAAATACGGCAGTGTGGCCATCCCGGGGGGGGGGGGGGGGGCTCCTGCTCACTGTCTCTCTGGGCGGGTACGCACGCCCTATGGCAAAAAAAAACTTTTTTAAAAAAGAGAGAGAAATACCACTTGTCCCACCCTGTTCTATCAAAAGCAAAACAAAACAGAAGAACCTCTGGGGCTGGGGTTGGGATGGGGATGGGTTGGACGGCGGGGCAGGTGGCAGTGCAGTGGAAACACACTGGGCCCACACGGGAAGGGGGCTCCGTGAGCAGCCGGGGTGCATGCACGAGCACACCCCACAATCCAGCTGATAGAGCCGGGGTGGGTCACAGCACAAGGACTCGGGGGTCTCTGTCTATCTATCTCTGTGCCTCTCTCTCTCCCAGAAGAAATAGCTCTAACGAACACCTTCAGTGGGTCATTGTCCCTGGCTCCTGGCGGGAGGCTACACCCATGGACTCTCCTGCGTGACGGGAGTGTCTGTGCTGGTGAACCCTGGGGTCACACCTGCGCTGAGGCTATCGCGATGCTATGACGCAGGGTGCAGCTGGCCACCAGAGAGTCCAACCACGGTGAGGGAGTGGGGGCTCTGAGACACCTGACATCAGCTGGCCTCTGGGGCAGGGGGGCTGGAGCTGGGTTGGGGGGCGGTGATCTGCCAACCACGCTTCTGTGCTGAGACTCAGATCAACGCGCCGGATGCCGCAGCTCAATGGAGCCTCCCGGTCGGCAAACACAACCGTGAGCCCGGGATTCCATAGGAAGACCACGGGGGAGCTTTGCCTCGGGGCCTCCCTGTGCGTGTCACCATTTCGCTGGTTGGGGTTGTGGTCTCTACAATAAAGCTGCAGTCCCTGTTCTCCGAGTCGTTCCAGCGAGTGCTCAAACCTGTATGCGAACCCCAGTTTTTTAAGAGAGATTTTTGCTATAAGGTTCATGCATTCGTTGGAGAGACAGACAGAAAGTGAGAGGTCACCCCCAGGGAGGATGGCCATGCCACAGTCCCTTCTCCTCCATTCTCCTCTCAGGATTTTGGGGATGCACACACACATGCTGGGCGTAAGTTTCAAACCACAGGGTCTGGGACTGAAACCGCAGTTGGCCACATGGGAATCCAGCAACATAACCATTACTCCATCTGCTGGTCCCAGGAACTCCGAATTGGTAGCCAGCTGGTCAAAAGTACAGATGGCGTGGGGACAGCCAATGGACAGTGCCCCACGCCTGTGGGTCGGACACTAACTCCTGGTCAGCCCCAACTCATCAATCCATGCAGGGCAAGCTAGACGTGGAGACGGCCTGGTTAGTTTGGGGTGGGGGCTGAATGAGGAGGGCCGGGGCGGGGACGGGAGTGGGCGGGAGGAGGGCCACTCACTGGAAGCGAAGAACATGATGCCGGCGGAGAAGGGCCGGGAGAGGCGGGGGGAGGGGGGGGAGAGGCGGGTGAAGGTGGGCTGCTGAGCGAAGGCCAGGATGCCCATGATAATCCCGGAGGAGGCGCACAGGGCGGACAGGATCATGAAGGCCCGGGTGGCGTTCCAGTATGCTGCGGGGGCACCCACGGTCACTCCCCGCCTGCCCGGCCCTCGGGTTGGGGAGAGGGCACTGCCACCTCTGGGATGAGAATGCCTTGTCCCTCTCCTTTCCTATCACCCAGCAAGCTCCTATTCATCCTGCAAAGCCCAGCTGCCAGTACCCCTTCATTGGGAAGCAACCCATCACAACCTGGGCACCATCCTCCCCTCCGTCTGGCTGCGACTCTGTGCCTGGGACCCTGCCCCCAGCCTGACTGCTCCCTGAGGACAAGAACACGGACTCCATGTTACGAGAACCCCGGCACAGGTTTGGTGTGTACACTGGCCTGGGACAGCGTGTGCCGAGTGACTAACAGACACACGCTCCCGCCATCGCTCTCGGCCCTCTTACTGCTCTTTCACCTCCTTCACACCACTTGCCCGTGTCCGTCTCGCCCCCATAATCCTCAGCTCGCTGAGGACAGGGCCTGGCTCGCTCCCTCACCGCCGTCTCCTTGGCACCTGTGCATAGCACGTAGCAGGTGCCCAGTAAACACGGAGAGAGCATGAGCTCTGGGCTCCTCTGTGCTTCGCTCAGGACGTGCCCTGGGGGCTAAGGTGACAACTTAGCGACCGCCAGCTGTGTGCTCCACGCCCCCACACGTGACCCGTTCGTCCACCAGGAGTCCCGGCTGTCACTGCTACGTTTACCCTCACTTTTTTTTTTTTGAGAGGTTTTCACTGGAGGGCGCATGCGCTCGCCAGACAAACAGAGAGAGACAGAGAGACAGAAAGCGAGAAATCACCCCCCAGGGGGGATGGCCACGCCGCAATCCCTTCTCCTCTATTCTCCTCTCGGGATCTTGGGCACGCACGCACACGCGCCCGGTGTGAGTTCTAAGTCACCGGGTCTGGGACGCGAACCACGGTCGACTACGTGGGAGTCCAGCGACATAGCCATTATGCTAACTGTGGTTCCCAACCCTCACTTTTCAGGGGAAGAGACTGCAGCTCAGAGAAATTAGAAATGGGGCCACCGTGGAATTCCAGTCTCTCGGAACACCAGGGGGTGCTTGTGCACTGACGGCTGGGCTCCCTCACCAAGAAGTAAAAGTCCAGAGTAGCTACAAAATACGGCCTCTTGACACGTCGGGGCAGGTGGGAGGAACTCCTGGCTGTTTCTCCTGCATGGGAGAGGGTTCCAGGGTGAACTGTGCCCCCTGCCCCCCAAACTGTCACGTCGAACTTCCACCCCCACTGGCTCAGTGCAAATAGGGTCATGGCGGACCTAGACAAGTCTGTGTTGGAGCCAGGTGGGTCCCTCATCCAGTCACCAGTGTCCTTCTCAAAGGGGAACTTTGGGACCGGCAGTTGGTGTAGTGGTTAAGTTGCTGAACACCCACACGGACAACCACAGTTTGAGTCCCAGACCTGGATGCTGGAAACTCACGCCAGATGCATGTGTGTGCGTGCCCCAAATCTCGGGAGAATGGAGGAGCAGGGATTGCGTCATGACCATCCCCCTGCGGGGGTGATTTCTCGCTTTCTGTCTCTCTGGCAAGTGCACATGCCCTATAGCAAAAACCTGTTTCTTAAAAAAAGCAAGGACTCTGGACCCAGACACACGCAGGGAGAAAGAGAGTGAGGATGAAGGCAGAGATGGGTGATGCTTCCACAGACCAAGGAACGCCAGAGACCCCCAGCAAACCACCAGAACCAGAGAGAGACAGAATGGGTTCTCCCTCCCAGCCTGGGAGGGAACGAGTCCTGCGGAGCCTGGCCTTGAACCCGGGACCCCAGAACAGAGACAACCATCGCCGTGGCTGCGACCACCCCGCGTGCAGTGCTTGCTGGGGCAGCCTAGAAAATGGGTGCAGGTGTCCCTGGTATTTTGGTCTGGAGGACGTCTCGGCACGGGGCAGCGCTTCCTTTCCTGTGGTCGTGCTAGAGCGGGAACAGAAGGTGCGAAGCTCTGAGCCCTGCCTAGATCTGCTGGGGGCAGCAGGCTGCAGGAGGCTGGGCCCGTGGACCACCCGTTGGGATGTCTCTATGGAAAACCTTCTCTGCTTCTCAGACCACTGTGGGGTGCCTTCTCCCGAAGGGCCGCACGCCGGTGACTATGCGGTCCTGCCGGACACACAAAACTAGATATTTTTTCAAAAAAGAGCTGCCCATCCAGGTTTTTCTGCAAAAATCTCCAGGTTTTTAAGTACTTGCAATGAATCCAGAAGCTTTAAAAACACCAGGCCGACCCCATAACACGTCTGCCCCGGGTTCGGCCCCGGGAAGCAGGCCGAATCCCCAGGAGCAGAGGAGAGCAGACAGCCAACGCGCCGGCTGTGTGGACAAACACCCAGGGGTCAGGTGGGGTCAGCTCTGTCCCCAAGGCTTCTGGTTTTGTGGTCATGAGGTCAAACGAGCTGAGAACTGTCCCCAAGCCTGCCTCTGTCCTGTCCTGGCAAAGAGATGGAGGTGACTCAGAGCTGTCCCCTGGGGACTTTCTGGTCTGAAGCAGGAGAAACGATGCACGTGGCCCAAATGAGAAGACGGGAAACGAAAGCATGGCTAGATCAGGCCGGCTGGCTGTGGAGCGGACAGCCCAGGGAAGCCTTCCCACCGCTCTGCCTCGGTTTACCCTCAGGCGGGTGGGCACCCTGCTGCCTCTCTCCCGGGGCTGCCTCAGGGGTTCAGGGCAGGTGAAACGTCCCAGCCCAGGCCCGTCACATCACAGGGCTCAGCGAGGGTTAGCGCTCCCTCCCACCCCTTCGAGAGAACGTTCGACTACTCGAGGTCCAACCTCGTGTCTTAGTCATAGCCACAGCCTTGCCCTCTCAGTGTTGGCGGGACCTGGAAGGGCACCTGTCCGTGGGAAGGGCTCAGACCAGCACAGAGGACACGGCACGCCCTCAGTGAACGCCCACCATTACAATCACCACTATTAGCGGAAGCAAAATACAGTAGGTTAGATACTACTAACATTACTATATGGTACATGCTGTAAGAAATATAGTGTATGTTGCATTTTATTAATTTATTAACTTGCTAAACCACAGTGTGTAATATACATTTATTACGTAATATATATTCATGCACCATGTTCTAATTAATATTATCCATAATATACATTGATCTACTTTATAATATACTGTGTAATATGCCACGCACTATATACTAAGTATTTTTTGAGAGTTTTTTTTCTTTTTTTTTTTGCTATAGTGTGTGTGTGTTTGCCAGAAAGACAGAGAGAGACAGAGAGACAGAAAGCGAGAAATCACCCCCCCCAGGGGGGGTGGCCATGCCGCAATCCCTTCTCCTCCATTCTCCTCTCGGGATCTTGGGCACACATGCACACGTGCCCGGCGTGAGTTTAAGCCACCGGGTCTGGGACTCGAATTGCAGTCGACTACATGGGAGTCCAGCGACATAGCCATTACGCTAACTGCTGGTCCCTATATTATGTACTATTAATTTATCATCTGATATATGGAATACATATAATAACACATAATATAGGATAGGTAATGTATGCTGTTAATTTATAAATATAATATGTATGATATATACGAAGGTTCTTCAAAATATTCATGGCGTTTCATGAAAAAACTATACAGGGATTTCTTTCTCTCTTTTTTTGCAGCAGAATAAACTCATACTAACTTGTAACATGTCTAAACAGGATTTAGTTTGGGATGCCAAGAAAGGTAAGACAACCATTTGAAGAAAGAGCCCCACCAGAGCAACGTGAATTCTGCTGAAATGAAGGACGAGCAGGTACGGAATTTATAGCAAAGCCTGGTGGAGGCGAGGACAGTGAGGTCATCTAAGCTTGGGGCAAGCGGATGGCGACAGTGTTCCAGAGAAAGCCACACTTTGCTAACGGGGAAGGGACAGGACGATGTGGAAGACGGCCCCACGGCGGCAGACCGTCCCTACCGATGTGGGAGGAAATACCATCTTTCTGGTGCCCTGTCACCGTGGGATCAAGATCTCGAAGCATTTCTCTGAAGAACCGTGACAGGAGGTGGCACGTGGCTTTACCAGTGTGGCGCTGAACACAGCACAGTCACGGCGGCGGCCACCGGATGGGAAGGGGTCCCGTCAAAGCAAACACGGACCGTGCAGGGCCGCAAGGTGTGGGGATGGTCAGGACATTCTCTTGTTGATGGCCCCTTCTGACTTATGTTTCTGTCCTGGTCTTCGATCTCCGAGTGCGTGCGTGTGCTTGTGCGTGTGCGTACATAAACTCCCTGACCTGGAGCACCGTAAGCAGTAAAAAACACCTGCATCGGGTATCTGCTCGTTAGGACGCATGCCGCCCTGTCTCCCAGCACCTGCGATGGCTGCGGCCCAGCACCCCCACCCCCAGCCGCTGCGCCTGACGCCTGCGTGTGGAAATGCCGCCTCTCAATTGACTCTCCAGCCAGCACGCCCTGTCATAGCAACCAGCCAGCGACCCTGAAATCCCAGTTCTGTCCGGTCCCTGTGACGGGCGGGTCCCTGCCTCCCTGAGCCACGGGGCTCCCCACCTGGAGTCCAGGTGGCCCCTGGCCATGAGCGCCCGCAGGCCCAGACCCGACCCAGGCTCACCGATGCTCTCCGTCTGCAGGTAGCACTTGCTGCCCAGGCAGTACCGCCACAGGCCCTGGTGTGCGAAGGTCCCCGACAGCCGGTACTGCATCCAGTGGTCCGTCGCTGTGGCCACCACCAGGAGGACGGTGCCCACCCAGGCGCAGAAGAGGCCGCCACCCATGAAGCTGTACATGGTGATCTGCAGGGAAGGGAGGAGGAGGGGCTGGGGCTGGACTCCCAGGGGTTGTGGAGGAAGGGGCTGGGGGAGGAGGGGGCAGGCAGTGGGACACCAGGTCCTCAGGAAAGGAAGGAGTTGGGGTCCTGGATCCTGGGTCCCAGGGAGGAGGGGCTGGGGGCCTGGATCCTGAGGAGGAGGGGCTGGGGGCCTGGATCCTGGGTCCTGGGGAGGAGAGGCTAGGGGCCTGGATCCTGGGACTGAGAAAGAAGGGACTGGAGGCTTGGACTCCTGGGTCCTGGAGGAGAAGGGATTGGGGGCCTGGCCCGCTGGGTCTGAGAAAAGAGGGGCTAACTGGACTCCTGGGTCCTAATGTGAGGAGGGGTCTGGGGCTGGGACACCAGGTCCCTGGGAGAGGAAGGAGCTGAGCCGGGACCCCTGGGATCCGGGGAGGGGGCTACTGCTCCAGGCCTGTGGCCTACCTGAGTGGCGGAGCCTGCCCTGAGCCCTCCTTCTGCCACGGCCTCCCTGTGCACACTGAGCTGAGCCAGGTCGTGGGCCTCTCTGCCCCCCTGGGCCCCCCAAATCCCTTAAGCCTCTGGACACAATGGTCCCAGGGTCCAGCAGCTTCCAGCAGGCAGAAGTGCAGCGGTGGCAGAGGCCCCACTGGAATTCGCTGAGGCAGGGATCCAGGGGGCTCCCCACCGCCCACGGCCTCCCTCGGAGACCATCCCCACCCCCACCTCTTCCCAGGCCTTGCTCACGGCACCCCTGGGCGGCCTGAGCTGTGTAAGCAACACACAGACACGCGAGACAGAGGAGCATCGTGCATTTATTGTGCACTCAGGGCATCCCGCCCTGCAGGGCAGAGGACGGTGCCAGGGCTCGGGCGACGTGTCTCAGAGCCGGGCCAAGGCAGCTCTGCGGGCAGGGTCTGGGGTGGGAAGGAGGCTGAGGACGGAGCTGGGTTCAGGCTGGAGTGCGGGACAGTTACAGTTGGGCGAAGGGTCACAGGGAACAGGATGGAGGTGGGAATGAGGGTGGCTCAGGGCTGAGGCACCGAACTGGGTCAGGGTTGGGGAAAGGGCGTGCAGAGGCTGGGAATGTGGTGGGGGTGCTGCAGCTGGGGAGGCAGGTTGGATCCCGGTTAGGGATGGGGCCGACAGCGCGGCTGCAGGTGTAGCTTGGCGGTGTTAGAAATGGGGTGAGGATGAGGGGGCCAGGCATGGGCCTGGGGCTGGGGCTGAGGGTCACGCGTTTTTCTGGCTTGTGACGCTTAGTCAGGGCTAGGCTTCAGTAGGGGACTTGCAGGACCCCCTTCGAGGCCATGGTATGGGGCAGGGGGAGGATGGGAACCTCGGATGGGACCAGGTTTACTCTGGGACCCAAAAAGCCCTTGGAGACCGCAGCCCTGGTGCTGGCCCTCCCGGACCTAGTACTCTGTCTCCCAGTCCTCCACAGCAGGTGGGGCGTCCAGGGCTGGCTCCGGACCTTGGGCTTCCTTCTTCCCATCCTGGGCAGGTGGTGGTGGTGATGATGGCGATGCCAGCGGCGGGGTCTTGGGGCCAGCCCTGGAGCCCCCCGCAAAGCCCCTCTCTGCTTTCTCTGCTCTCCCAGGGCTCCACTGCCGCTGGCCCCGGCCCCGGCACCGGGCCCCGCCCCGGGCGCCCCGGCCCCGGCCTGGCCTGTGCTGGACGTCCCAGCCCTCGCATCTCTGGGGAGGCCTCTTGGCCGTGGTGGGCTGGTTGGGGCATGCCTGGAGGACACAGGGGCAGGAGGGCAAGGCCTGTTGGAGGGTGCAGGCCCCCATCAGGGCACTGTGCAGCAGGTAGGAGAGGGCGTCCAGGCGGACGGGCACCGTCACAGAGGCCAGGCTCTCAGGGAGCCCCAGGTGGGCTGGGTCTGGGGGGCCCAGGGGCCAGGGTGGCAGAGCTGTGGCAGGCGCAGGGGGCCACGGCTCAGTTCCAGGTGACGGCGAGGGCTGGTCGGTCCTAGGACAAGAACACAGGTGAGCAGTCGGCGAGCCTGTCCTGGGGCCGCCCAGCTGCCGCGTGCACCCTCATTCCCTCCCCCCCACGCTGTCTGCTCGTACCCACCTCTCTTACCCTCACCTAGCCCCTGGCAGAATCCAGCCCCAATTCTCAGCTGCCTCTTTAAAATTGTTTCCAAGTAATTTGCCAGAGGGAGCCACACTTCCCAGGAGAGACCGAGACGGGACAAAGCGCGCCCCAGGAGGGATGGCCACCCGGCAAGCCCTTCCCCATTTCCGCCTTTTCAGGATTTTGGGCACGCGCACACGTCCCGCAGCAGGCCACGCCGGCGCCCCAACAGCACCGTGGCCACGCGGAACCTGCCGCTCAAGGCCCGGGCCCGGGAGAGGCCCTCTGTGCCCGTCCCTTTTCCCCATCTCCCCTCGGGGTCTGGAAAGCTCTGGTTTGTGTCCGCCCTCTCTCCAGTGACCGCCTCCCTCTCACCCCTGGGCCTCAGCCGGGTCCTTCATCTGCTCCATCTCCACATCGGTCTCAAGGATGTTCCAGAAACTTCTCAGGGATCGGCAGGGACCTGGGAGGTGGGGGCGGGGCCCAGGGAGAGGAGGGGCGGGGCGGGGCGGGGCTTTGCGCAGACGGACGGGATGTCCTGCCAGGGCCCGGATGTGGTTCCGAACCAGAGGTGTCAGGACGCAGCCTTCACCTCCCCGAGATCCGGGATTGCAGGCCTGCAGGACTCGAGGGGTATTTTGAGCAGGGGAACCCGGGCGTTTCCGACCTACACTGTGACCTAAGCCCTACTGGTCTGTGCCTGTTTCCCCGCCCAGGACCCAGGACCGGGCTCTGTCGCCGGCCGCTCTCCTGGGGTCTTGTGACCGCCTGGGCGAGCAGTGAGTGCGGAGTCTGCACAGCGCGTGGTCTGCTCGCCTTCGATGCAGTGGCGGTATTTTACTGAGAAGCAGTTGTCATCCTCTTTATTCAGGAGCTGTTTACTCGGTGCCGATGTGTGGGGTTCCAGGCTATGAACTGGGGACAAAATAGAGGCACCCTCTTCTCTCTGAAACTGCGAGTTTGTGAAGGAGGCAGACCAGCGTACACGGCACGTTTCCTGTACGAGTAGGTACCGGAATCAGGGCCAGGGACAGAGCCGGGGCGCCGGGGCGTGGGCGTGGGTTAGATCAGTCAGGGAGGGCCCCGAGACCTGGAAGGGAGGTACCCCTGGTGGAGGGGACAGCCAGCGTGAAGCTCTGGTAGTAGAAAGTGTTTGAGGGGCTGGAAAGGAACGAGCTTGGAGGAGAGCCCTAAGTTTTAGGGTTTTGTTTTCTCTGTAACGTTTTATTTTGGAATCATTTTAACTTTACGTAACAGATACAATCATCAGAGGATTCACCTCTACGCCTCACCCAGCTTTCCTGAGGTTACCGTTTCCATCGTCTTGCTCACATTTGTAGTAAGAAACCGCGGGGAGGGACGGTTAAGTACACGTCACACTTTATTGAGATGTCACCAGTTTTTACACGCATGTCGTGTTCCTGTTCTTGAATCCAACGTGGGGCAGCACACCGCAGTTAGTCAGCCTGTCTCCGCTGTCTCTGACCTCAATCTTTCCTTGTCTTTCACAACCTTGGCAGTTTGAGTGCTAGCTCGGTTATTTTATAAAGTGGAGGCCTATTTTAATAAATACTAACTGATTGAATCTTCATTTCACAGGTGACCAGACCACACTGGAGAGCAGTCAAGTAACTTGTCCCAAGGTCGCAGAGCCTACTTACTGAGTGGCCAACTGGAATTTGAACCCAGGCGGCCTGGCTCTAGAGTCTGTGCTTCAAATGGGGACACAAGTAGGACCCAGATCATATCGGAGCTTGCTGAAGGCTGCAATAAAGATTTTGAACCTTACATTTCTATTTTTTAATGAAAAGAGAATTGAGATGACTGAGCATTTGTGAGCAGAGACATAACTTGCCGTGTTTTAAGAGCACGTTGCGGTATGGAAAATGGACTGACGTGGGAAGGAGGCACGGGAGCAGAAAGCCCAGGGAGGGTGCTGCCATCTCCAGAAAAGGAGCAGTGGGGCCTCCCAGGGGTGGTGGAGGTGGGGAGACCTGAATGCATGTCAGAAGTATTTGGGAGGAAGGTCAATTAGCATTAGCTCATGGACCGCTAGGGATGAGTATTCGGGAGTCAAGGGTGATGCAACGTTTTCAGCATGCACAGCACTTCTGAATATGAATTTTCTTTTAAAAATATTTTATTATTGGGACCAGCAGTTAGCGTAATGGCTATGTCGCTGGACTCCCATGTAGTCGACCGCGGTTCGAGTCTTGGACCTGGTGGCTTAAACTCACGCCGGGCAGGTGTGCGTCCGTGCCCAGGCCCCGAGAGGAGAATGGAGACGGGATTGCGGCGTGGCCATCCCCCCTGGGGAGTGATTTCTCGCTTTCTGTCTCTACGGCAAAAACCTCGCCAAAAAATTTATTAACTATTTCTTTATTATTATTATTATTCTAATTTGACCAGAGAGGGAGAGATTGAGAGAGAGGGAAAATGAGAAAGGAAGCCGCCAAGTTCAGGACTTGAACCATGGTCGGCCATGTGGGAGTCCAAAGCCCTTAACCACCACGCCACCTGCCGACGCCCCCGAAAATGAATTTTCTTACAAGAAGTTTACAACCTCCAAAAGTAAGGATGAGAAATCCCAGGTATCACTGAGTGGCGGGAGAAGGATCTTTATCAAGAGGGTTGGCTTTTTCCTCTTTTCCGGCGACCTGATGAGAAGAGCCCTGACCTCGGGTTTCAAGTCTGGGACTAGGCATCTGGTTACCTCACTTCACAAAGAGGCACTTAGGTCTAGGTGAGAAGTCAGGGTTCGAATGCGTGACCTAGAGCCAGCTGCTTACACTCTCGAGTCTTCACTCCTCCCCGACATAGCACTTACTGCTGATTCCAGCGTCGTGGGATCGCTTCTAGTTTTCTTCTGTTACTGCTTCTCGATCTCTGCGAGCAGAGATCTCTGTTCGTACTCCCTGCGAACCTGGCCCTTTAAGGTTCCCCTCCTGCTCCCCCGGCCAACTCCCCGTCTGGCAAAGAGCGGAACCGAGTCGCTGAGGACACATCCTTTAGCCCCCAAAATTGACAAGCAAGTTTTGAAAAGTTCCCGGTCGACTCGGCGTGGAGGAAGTGAGGCTTCCCATTCGCCAGGGCACTCCAGCGCGGTCACCACCCTCGGCTCTGATTGGCTGGGGTGCTTGCCTTGCGTCCCCTTTCCCGAGGGGAGGGCCGTTTCCGAGTCCCCGCCCCGCGAGCCTCATTTTCGCTCTTTGATTGGCTGTACTTTTGAACGACAGCCTCGCCTGCGCTCTCTGATTGGCTAGCACATCTCCACGCTTTTCAGAGGCATTTTAGCTTCAGCCTTTATGCGCGGTCGCTCAGGTGAGCCACGGCGCGTCCAGGACACCCAGCGCTGGCCCGAGGCGCCGAGTGCGGCTTGGACGGGAGACGATTGTTGGCAGTCGTGGTGGTACCTTGTTGGGAACCATCGCCTGCCCCCCGTCGCCACCCTGTCCCTTCCCGTTCCCACACCGGCCTTAGCCTGTCATCCTAAGGCCCTTCTGGGACCTCACCCTTCCTTCTTCCTCATGCTCACCCTCCTCCCTGGAGACCCTCTGGGCCCTTCTCGTTCCCTTGAGCCTTTCTCATCCCTTCACCCGGCCAAGCCGGGGACCCTTCCACGTGCAGGCGGAGGGTCAGGGCCTCTGGACCTGGGCGGCGCCTCTCACTGCCATCCCCCTTACCAGGTCCGGGAAATCATCCTGCCTCCTTTCCCTGGAACCTCCCCACGCCCAGAGCCTCTGGCCTCACTGCACTGCTCTCTGCCCCTTCGAAGTGCAAGGTCACCCTTGGACTTGCCCTGGAGCTAGAGCTGTTAATATTCCGCCCTCCTCCCAGCCCTCCTCTCCTGGAGGACCTAGGACATCATGCAGAGGGCAAGGGTGGTCTCCAGCCCACATGGTCAGTGTCTGTAATGAAAAGCGAAACCTTCTGGTAAGCAGGAGTCATGCCTCTCACAGTTCTAGAGGACGGGAAGTCCAGGATGAATGAGACAGCAGATTTGGTGTCTAGTAAACACCCAGTTCTTGGTTGACAGATGGCACCTTCTGCTGTTTTCTCACGTGGTGGAGGGACAAGGCAGCTCTGGGGCTGCTTCCCCACCCCACCCCACCCCACCCCACCCCCAGAGGTTTTTTCTATAGGGCGTGTGTGCTGGCCAGAAAGACACAGACAGAGAGATAGAAATCAAGAAATCACCCCCAGGGGGAATGGCCACACCGCAATCCCTTCTCCTCCATTCTCTCCGGATCTTGGGCATGCACACACAAGCCCCCGGTGTGAGTTTAAGTCACGGGGTCCAGGACTCAAACCACGGCCGACTATGTGGGAGTCCAGCGACATAGCCATTACGCTAACTGCTGGTCCCTCTGGGGCTTCATTTATAAGGGCCCCTATCCCATACATGAAGGGAACTTTCATAACCTAATCACCTCCCAAACACATGGAACCCTGAAGGAATCCTACAGTGAACAACTTGAGTTCCCACCTAGAGTCTGTAGTTAACATCTTATTAAATGTGCTCTATATGTTTCTATCCATTCTTTTGTCCCTCTTACTTTTTTGATATATGTCAAAGGAGGTCGTAGCACCTTTACCTTTAGACTCTGCAGGGTAGAATGTTAACTAGTCCCCTACTTGTTTCTTTTCAAGTGATGCTTACCAGAGGCACAAATCTGATATGTATCATTTGATGAGGTGTGTATGAGTGTGTGTGTGTGTGTTTCCTTTCAAATGCATACCTTCTGGGCTAGCCAGTGGCATGGTGGTTAAGGCAGCTGAATCCCATATGGCAGGCTATGCAGTTCGAGTCTTAGACCTGGTGGCTTGAAAAACATGCCAAGCATGTGTGCACGCATGCCCAGAACCAGAAGAGGAGAATGGAGGGGAAGAGGGAAGGCAAGGTAGCCATCTCCCCGACCCTGAGGAGGGTGCTTTCTTAATCCCTCCCCTCCCACCTCCAGTGAGCCCACATGCCTGGCAGCAGATTCAAAACCAAACAAAGTACCTACCTTCCTGTCGAGATATCCTACTATTCCCCGGAAGGTCCCCCTGATGGCTTCCCAGGCACTTCCTGCTACCCCTCTCCACGGGCTGCCCCCATCTGATTTTCTTTTCACTGTAAATCCATTTCAACTAAGCCGATATTTGAGCTGAAACTTTTAGAATATAGGGATTTGCTGGGCAGACAGTAATGTGCCAAGTCAGGGAAATACATGATCTATCAGAGACGTGATACATACAAGGCCAAACAAAAAGGTAGAGAAAACCAACTTGAAAGAAGCCTTGAGTATAGAAGAGATTGCGGCTTCTGCCATGTCAGACAGTGGAGAGCGACCCGTGATGCGACTGGTGGGGTGCGTGCTTAAGAAAAGTCATTCTGAAAACCGCGGTGGACGGGCACAGTGACTTGGAAATCTACCGTAATAATGAGAGAAGGGCCGAGAAGGTGTTAAGATTGTGGGTGTGGAGTCCAACTGTCATGCTCGAGTGACGTCACATCCTGACTCTGCCCCCAGACGCTGTGTCACCTTGGCCCGATTTGCCTTTCAATGTCACTCCCCCTGGCTGGCCAACAACACTGGTCTCCTCTAGGCTCCCCGCCTGGCTGGCCAACAACACTGGTCTCCTCTAGGCTCGGCATGGAGCCTGTTCTCACTGAACCACAAATGGCACGTGGGCATCGGTTTGTTTTGTTTTTTAAATTTTTGTTTATTCCGAAAGAGAGAGAGAGAGCCCCAATAGGGTATTCACATCATGGACCGGCGCCACCCCCACCCCCCCAACTCCATTCGGCCTGGGTTCTGGTATCCCCAAGCCTGGCATGTTTGGGAGGCCTTGGGATGTAAACAGGGACCTTCCCGCGTGGGTCGGCCTGGCAGAGCGCGGTGTGACTGCTGCGCCGCCACCTGGCCTCCAGCGTCTTTGCTTCTAACACGCGTCTGTACCATTCGCACAGTCTAAGCCATGCAATGTTGGACTCCGTCCTGGACGGAGAAAGCAGCGCCATGGATTTAGCAGAGAATGGGAGTTGTTGATGAGGAGAATGAGGGACAGGTCCAAGTCGTTCTCTATGAATTTGAGTGTGAGTTGCTGGGGGACACAGTGGCATGAAGACCAAGGGGTCTTTAAAAAGTTCAAGGAAAATGAGTACTAAGACAAATCGTGGAGTCTCCGGAGAGAGCTGTCTGGGAGACGAGAAGTAGGTGCGCCCTCTAGAGGTGGCCGTGTGGGAACCACCACGCGGGAGCTTCCGCTCTCCATGAGACTGGGCAGGGGGCGTGCTGTCCTCTCATTTCTGCCTTAGAGGCTTGGTCTGTGCTGCTAAAAAAGAATACCTCACATGGGTCATTTGTGAATAATATAATTTCATTTCATACTAGTCTCCGTTCTGGAGGCGGGGAAGTCCAAGATCTAGGCACTCCGGTTTGGTGTCTGGCGAGGGCCCTCTTGGGACCTTCTTACTGTGTCCTCACAGTGGGGCAGGCAAGGGGACTCTTTGGGGCCTCTCTTATAAGTCCACTCCCGCTGCGATAACAGATTACCACCAAAAGGGTAATTTATAAATAGTAGAAATTTGTTTTTCCCTCGTGGGAGAGGCTGGAAAGTCCAGTGTGCAAGTGTTGGCAGGTGCAGTGTCATGAAGACCCGCTCTCTGCTTCCCAGACCATCCTCCCGTGGTAGAAGGGCAGAAGGACCAAGACAACAACAAAGAAAAGACAGCAACAAGCAAGCAAGCAGACAAATGCTGTGAGGAGCTTCTTT